TTATATATCTTTAATTCTGAATGAACTCTCTTTCATATAAATCTGTTTATATCTTTAATTTAATATATTATTATTTTTGCTTAAGAAAGTTTTCTTTATGGCTGAACTACCATCTGATTGCTACTGTGTATAAAATACATAGGTCATTTCTTCTCTGATTTCTCTCCTCTTTTTTTTCTTTCTTTCTCCTATGACCACCCCTCATATCCAGACTTAGACTACTTCCTTGTATTTATTTGATTTCTTTTTTATGTTTTCGTTCTCTTCTTTGTTTCGCTGTCTGGCCATTTTTTTTAATTTACAAGCTGAAAATGATCATTAACCTAATGTAATCTGAATTCCTATTGTTTGATATATATATATATATATATATATATATATATATATATATATATATATATATATATATATATATATATATATAATTCTGTTGATATCTATTTGTCTATCTATCTGTCTGTCTGTGTCATTCTATTCAGATTTATACCATTCTATTCCGTTCTATCGATATGTTTGATTTTATCAATCTCATTTTGTTGAGATCTATCTATCTATCTCATTTTGATCAAATGTATCTGTCGCATCTTGTTCAAATGTTTCTATCTATCTATCTATCTGTTATGGTCCGGTTCCTTGTACCACGGTGATAGTGCAAGGTAGAACCAACGAATAACTCGAACACAGGTATGGAATAACACAGATATATTACAAACAGGAATATATACAGAGAAGTAGAAGTGTTAGTATGAACAATCAGGTTTAGTAGAGAGAACAATGTAGTCTCGCCCAGTATCATTATTCCAATGTCTTTTCAGTAATTGTCTGAACGCGACTCTGTTTCGGACTGCCTCTGACTCGACTCTTGACTCGACTTGAACTACTGACGATATTCAGTCACCCCCCCACGAGTGTGTCATGTGGCACAAGGCCTTTTTAATTCCCGAGCCATTAGGCTCGGGCATTTCCGTATAAACGGGTTCAGGGAGACCTTCCCCGAAGGAGATTAGCTCGGCGTAGGAAGAAGAGTTGAACTGAACAGTCAGTTTGAACCCGTATAAACGGGTTCATGGGCCAAGGTTTTGGGGAACCCCCCATTAAGGTTTTGGAAAAAAACTCCATTTGAACCCTTGAACGGGTTCCCTCCCGAAGGAGACTCCGCCCTTCGGCGTAGCCTCCTTCGGGTTCCTCCCGCCCGTAGGAAGAGAGTTGAACCGAACAGTCAGTTCAGAGGTGAACGACTGACTCCTTGCCTACTCCTGAGGCGCAGTATTTATCAAGTATGGAATAGGCCATTATTATTATTATTATTATGGTTAAGATCCCATAACACTATCTACCTATGGAAGCTATGTATACACACCTCGACGAAAGTTGTTTTATTGTTTCTGAAGTCATGAGAAATTATTTTTTTCTTCCTCATACACAAGAAAACCTATTAATTTTCGCTTTCTTGTAAAACTAATTCTTTCTGTTACTGATTGTATGTCAAACCCTAAAAACAACCTTACGGCTACATATTTAACTCTCAGGCAAACAGACGTCTACCATTTTGACATGAGCAAGTCAAACCAATGTCTACCTTTCTCATTCTTTCTTCGAAACCAAACCTACATCTACCTGTGTGTGTGTCCCTTGATAACTATCCTATATCTACTTTTCTGGCACTCTTAGACATCCTACCTGTGATTACTTTCTCGATTGTTTCAGTGTCTGACTCTCTTATATAACAAAATCATCTGCCAATCTTGGAAACCAATTCAATTTCAACCTTTCTGACTCTCTTACAGATCATACCTATGATTACTATTCCGACTCTTACAAAAGTCCTCTGTATACATGTGTATTAATATATCTGTGGCTCTAGATATCTCTAAAGAGTTTGATAGGGTTTAGTATACCGGCCTTATTCGTAACCTTCAGGGATACGGAATTTCAGGACGATTATTTGACTTAATACAATCATTCCTGTCAAACAGTGTAATGAATGTCGTTACTTTCTCACCAATGAAGGTGTTCCCCAAAGCTCTATCCTGGGCCCCTCAGTTCCCAAGTAAGTATCTATGCACACGATATTATTATTTACTCCGGCCTCAAAAGTAAATCTGATGTCGCTGATTTAACTAACCTTTTTTTCTTTTTCTTTTTTAAACATTCCACCCCAATCAAGGCAGGAAGCCACTAGCACGCAAGCGGTTTCAGAGTAGGAGCGAGAACAAAGAGGAGTGATAGAGAAAAGGGTGAAGAGAAGGATAGGGGATAGATCAGCATCTGGAAATGTCGATTGAGAGGTGCGGTCGTGGACTTGAACATCAGGAATTCTAATGAGAGGCAGGGGATTCTCTGTGGTGGGTTATAGAGAACAGTCTTGTTTTTAAGTCATTAAAGTTTACCAGCCATTTCTTGCCCCAGTCAACCACAGATTGGAGGTCCTTTTCGAGAGCAACGGCCTTGCATGGAGTATTGATGCCATATATGGTCTGAAGTTCCTCCTAATTGTCTCAAGGTCTTTGATAAAAGCCAAAGACGGCTATACAATGTAATTGGCCCTGATCTGGCATCTCGTCTGCAACCGTTCTCTGACAGACGTGCTGTTGCCTCCCTCTGTCTTTTTTACAAATACTTTCACGGTAACTGCTCTGATGAGCTGCTTTCACTGGTTCCCAGACTTCATGAATTTAAGCGTTCTACTAGGCTGGCATCTCGCTCTCACCCTTTCACTGTCGATACTGTTAAATGTAGCCGACTTTTCTACTCCAATAGCTTCATGTCTCGCACTTCTTGCCTATGGAACTCCCTCCCCATTTCTTGTTTTCCTGATAACTATAATCTCCAACTATTCAAATGCTATGTCAATCGATATCTTCAGATGCCTTGATCTAATTCTCCGTCCTTCTCTTTATCCTTTGCTCTATCACGCCTATTTACCCTTGCTCTCATTTCTGTAATCATTTGGGTGCTAGTGCCACACCCACTTTGATTAGAGTGAAATGCTTAAAAAAAAAATAAATAGCTTCATCTAGGACAAGGAAAGTTGGTTTTCTGCGGTTTTTCACGTCTGAGTACATCCTTCAAATCGACAATTCTAACATGCATTGAATACTGTTGCCATATATGTTCTTGTGGCCCTGCTGTTCATCTCAAGGTCCTCGAAAAGATCCAGAGACGGATATGCAATGTGATGGCATTTCGTCTTCGTTTCAGCAAGTATTTCCATGGAAACTGCAATGACAAGCTACTTTTACTAGTTCCCAATCTGCATGAATTTAAGCGTGCTACTAGGTTGACATCTTAACCCCACCCCTTAACTGACGAAAGGGTTAAATGTAACCGTCTCTTCTACTCCAACAGCTTCTTCTCTCGCACTTCCGACAGAGGAACTCCCTTCTTCTTACATTCCCTGATAGCTATAAGCTTTCCCTGATGGCTATAAGTTTCAAAAATTTAAATGTAATGTCAATCGACATCTTCTGATGCCTTGACCTTGATCACTGACCTCCTTTTTATCCTTCACTTAAACACCCTCTTTACTGCTGCTTTTACTTTCTGAAACGATTGCGTGCTAGTGGCAGTCACGCATTGCTTGGGAGCCAATGGAGGACAAAGACTGAGAGAGATGCTGAACAGTTAAAACTTACTACGAGCTAGAAAAAAAAAAGGAAGTTGTGACATTGTTATTGTTCGCATCCTAAACAGACAAGGTGCATAAAAAAAAGAAAAAGCCGAAGATGATGAGGATTTATGAAACAAATTTCCTGCCATGTGATATTTAAGAAAACTTAATTACTGCCAATTGAATAGGAATCCATTTCTATCGGCGATTTTTTTTTTCATTATTTTGATCTGTCGTCATAGTTATTCATAAGTCTACATCAATACTGATGCCATTAGTAAACCAATTTGTCAAACAGCGGGGTGTCAGTGTTAGCCTAATACGTCAATAAACCACATGAGTATAGGACATAGTGTTCATTTTAGAAGACATTTTTTCACGTGCAAATTTTATCTTGCAATATATATATATATATATATATATATATATATATATATATATATATATATATATATATATATATATATATATATATATTGGGATCTCTCTCTCAATCTGCATGAATTTAAGCGTGCTACTAGGATGACATCTTGGCCCTACCCTTTCACTGTCAAAATGGTTAAATGTAGCCGTCTTTTCTACTCCAACAGTTTCTTCCCTCGCACTTCCGACAGTGGAACTCCATTCTTTTTACTTTCCCTGATAGCTATAAGCTTCAAAAATTTAAATATAATTTCAATACCAGAAATGTAAATGCGCGCACACGCTCGCATATATATATAGATAGATAGATAGATAGATAGATAGATAGATAGATAGATAGATATCTGTAACTGGTCTATGAGAAGGATAACTCTGAATTCAAAAACCTGCGAATGGTCGGTGTTTGGGACCTTGTGATACGGAGCGTAACACATCTCTGCATTCAGCTCTTCAGAAAGTGCGTTTGGTTCTGCACAAAGCCTGCCCTACCATAATCAAATCATATGTGCATGTGTCTGGCTGTTTCTTCCTAGGAACTGAGTTGTTTGAACCTCAGACGTGTAAAAACGACAGGAGGCTTCAGTATATATATATATATATATATATTTATATATATATATATATAAAAAGAAATATAGTCTTAAGGTGTGCTATATTTATGGGATAAAGTGCTCAATATCAGAGATAGTGCGTGTGTAAATATAAATATAAATATAATAATATAAATATAAAAGGTGGCCTGACGATTGCATATAGCATGAAACAGACTGTCGCCTCTAAGTGTTGTCTTCTATGTTCACTTTTATATATATATATATATATATATATATTTGTTTGGATTGATGTGAGCTTGTGACCCTGGATTTTACGGTTTTGCAATCACGATCGCAAAAGCGTGAAACCAAGGGTCACAAACTCACATCAATCCAACCAAATATGTTAGCTCTATCTCTGATATTGAGCGCTTTCTAATAAGTAATATATAATATAAATAATAATATATTACATATATTACATGTATGTCTATATATAGATTTATGTTTATAGTTATATACACACACTTTTCATAAAACACACACACACACATATATATATATATATATATATATATATATATATATATATATATATATATTCCCGTGTCTGCGTGCATGTGCGTGCGCGTGTGTATGTGTCGGTCTGTGTATGTATGTATGTGTGTGTGTCTATAGATGTGTGTCTGTATATCCACATATATATATCCATATATAAATTCATGAATTATTCACACAAAAACTAATGCAAAGGTTAATGATTTAATTGGCGAGAAATCCATCATCGCAAACAATTCAAATAATATACAAAAACCTCCGAATCCGTTATGAATGAAATGATCCTTGTTTCTATAAATTTCTGCCGTATTAGTTCTTATTTTTACTACAAGCTTTCGTCTGTTCCTACAGACATCTTCAGGTATAGAATAGATGTTGTTCTTGTTTTTTCTCTTAGTAATAAGAGGACAACGAAAATATATGTATTGTTGTATCCGAAAATATTGTTTTTGGAGCGCGCAGTAGCAACGCTGAGTTTGATTTTAAATTTTTATACACAGACTATTTATACCCTTTATAGATTACTTCGTTTTTTATTTGACTCATTTTCACCAAATACAAGATTCAAGAACCACCCAGGGTAGAGGATTACTGAACTGGATTTGTTATATGCATGTAATACAAGGAACTAGTTATTTTTATCCATTTCTAGGCAGGTCTTGCGACCCTCTAGTCCAAAAGCACATCCAAAAGTTGGTATGAGGTATGAACTAAAATATTGGGACTAGTACTATAAAAAGTAAACTACAACACATACCAGTTCTGCATTTAATCTTCTTTTGAAGTAGTCTCTTTCGGATATTCCACATTTTATCTAGCGTATTATCCACTGATTCCTGGAACTACATTTTTTGGCTTAAGGAACAGCTGTCTTGTGGCATTCTCTTGGATAACCTCGACATCTTGAAATCTTGTTTCTTCCAAGTGGGATTTGATTTTGGAAGAGGGCGAAGTTGCAAGACGCGAGATCTTTTCAAACATTTTTTGATTCTTCTTTTCTCTCTTTCATAGTTTCACTGGTTTCTTCTTTACTATTTCATAATGTTTTTTTCTTAATTCTTCCTTTTTATACACTTCTTTCTTTCTTTCTTTCTCTCTCTCTCATTTCTTTCTTTCCATCTCTCCTTCTTCCCCCCTTCTTTCTTTCTTTCTTTTCCCTATTTCTTTCTTTCTTTCTTTCTCCCATTTCATTCTTTCCATCTCTACTTCTTTTAACTTTCTTTCTTTTCTTTTCTTTCTTTCTTTCTTTCTTTCTTTCCATCTCTCCTTCTTCCCCCCTTCTTTCTTTCTTTCTTTTCCCTATTTCTTTCTTTCTTTCTTTCTCCCATTTCATTCTTTCCATCTCTACTTCTTTTACCTTTCTTTCTTTCTTTCTTTCTTTCTTTCTTTCTTTCCATCTCTCCTTCTTACCCCCTTCTTTCTTTCTTTCTTTTCCCTATTTCTTTCTTTCTTTCTTTCTCCCATTTCATTCTTTCCATCTCTACTTCTTTTACCTTTCTTTCTTTCTTTCTTTCTTTCTTTTGCTTTCTTTCTTTCTTTCTTTCTTTCTTTATTTATTTATTTATTTATACCCTTCCTTCTTTCTTTATTTTTTCCTTTCTCTCATTTCTTTCTTTCTTTTTTACAGAGTGAGACGCAAGTTCGATTCTTGCCGGTAATCAGATTTCCTTATTTTTTTTTAGTTTTTCCTCCTTTATTGACTTTCATTTTTTTTTAACTTCTTTTTCTAATTCCGCGTTTCTTTCTTTTCATCTTTCTTTCTTTCTTTTATTACTGCCACTGTATTTTTCTTCCTTCTTCATCTAAATTCTATCATTTTTATCATTTCTTACTTTTTTTTTCAGCTTTTGTCCCTTGTATTCACTTTTTTTTACTTCTATTTAATTCTTTCTTTTATTCTCTTTCTCTCCATTCTCTTTCATTTTCTGCCTCCTTTAATTCTTTCTTTCTTTCTTTCTTTCCATCTTTCTTTCTTCCTTTCTTTCATTCTTTCCACTGTGCTCTTCATCATAATTCTATCATTTTGACCCCTTCTTTTTTCTCACAACATTTTTTTTCCTTTCATTTCTCCTTCACTTCCCGCTTTCTATTCATGTTTCTCCTTATTTCTTCCTTTCTTTAAGTCTGTCCTTTGTCTCTTTCTATCCATTCTCTTTCCTTTTCTAATTTCCTTACTTCCTTTCTTCCTTTCTTTCTTTCTTTTTACATTCATTTTTCCTTCTTTCACCTGTTTTCTTCCTTCCTTCTTCATCTAATATTCATTCCTTCTGTTCGCTTTTACTTCTTCTTCAATTTCTTTTCTAATTCTTTATTTCCTCTTTTTTTTAATACCATTTACCTTTTCTCTTTTATTCCGCTCTGTTTAATTTTCCAATTTTATTTCTTTATTTATTTCCCGTCTTCCTCTCATATTCATTTTCTTTTCACCAGTTCCTCTAACCCCTTTTTATTCCAATCAAGTCCATTTCTACTTCCAATCTTCCTTTCAATTTGCTTGCTTTCAAAGAAAACAATCTAGCTTTGTCATACTTCTAGAATTAAATGACTTCTGTCACCAAAATTAACGTCTTTAATTCTCCTATCGACCGGCCATTATATTCCTTTTTTTGACTTTTTTTACAACCTTATTTCTCCTCCATTTTTTTTTTATCATCGCTATCTCCCCATCTACCGAGGCAATTTTCAGCGTCTTATCAATTAATTAACTCCGGGCTTCTCTTTCTAACCATTTCCTTCCAAATATTTTTTCTTGTCGGTTCAAGTTATTTTTGTGTTCTCCGATTGTACTTCCGTATTAGCCTAATCCTCTTAATCAATATAAAGGTCGCTAGATCAGCGACTACATTGCGTCATCTATAACAAAGCCGTCTGTCTACGAAGTGAATTAATCTCTTTGGTTTTCTTGGACGACTTGCTTACTTATTGTAGAAATCGAAACCTCCGGGAAAATGGTCACAATGAAAGAGCACCGGCTGACTGAGGGAGGCATCAGCTGCCAAAACGGTTAAATTTGTCCACTCATAGATTTAGATTATCTGCCCACCAATCTCTCTTTCTCTCTCTCTTTTTCTCTCTCTCTTTTCTCTTTCTTCCTCTCTCTCTCTTTTCTCTCTCTTCCTCTCTCTCTTTCTCTCTCTCTTTTTCTCTCTCTTTTCTCTCTCTTTTTTCTCTCTCTCTATTTCTCTCTCTCTTTTCTCTCTCTCTTTTTCTCTTTCTTTTTCTCTCTCTCTCTTTTCTCTCTTTTCATCTCTCTTTTTTCTCTTTCTATTTCTCTCTTTTTTTCTCTTTCCTTTTCTTTTCTCTCTTTTTTCTCTCTTTTCTCTCTCTTTTCTCTTTCTTTTTCTCTCTTATCTCTCTCTTTTCTCTCTCTTTTCTCTCTCTTTTTTCTCTTTCTTTTTCTCTCTTTATCTCTCTCTCTTTTCTCTCTCTCTTTCTCTCTCTTTTCTCTCTCTCTCTTTTCCTCTCTATATCTCTCTCTTTCTCTCTCTCTTTTCTCTCTTTTCTCTCTCTCTTTTCTCTCTCTTTTTCTCTTTCTTTTTTCTCTCTCTCTTTTCTCCGTCTTTTCCATCTCTCTCTTTTTCTCTCATTCCTCTCTCTCTCTCTCTCTCTCTCTCTCTCCAGCAAAGTTTTTTTATAGCTGTAAGAAGATCAATTTTGGATGTTAAAATATGTTTTTTTTTCAGCAAGAGAAAAATCACAATAAGCGAACTATGAATTGATGTGTAAATATCTAAGAATGTCTTACAAGAGTATAGAATAATTCCACACCAAATTCCAAAGACTCATTTGAATAGCGAAAGATGCATTCCAAAAGCAAAATTCTGAGAAACTGGAATGTTTCCTCAGAAACAAAGAAGATCACCGAACCTTCCATCAAATGTTTAATATCTAAAAAGAAGATTCAGCCAATTGAGTTTCTATTCTATAGATTTTCAGATAAATCAACCATTTGCCCTTGCATGGAGTATTGCTGCCATATATGGTCTGGAGCCCCTTCTGTTTGCCTCGGGGTCCTTGATAAGATCCAGAGACGGATATGTAATGCAATTGGCCCTGAACTGGCATATCTGCAGTGGCTCTCTCACAGACGTGCAGTCGCCTCTCTCTGTCTTTTTTACAAATATTTTCATGGTAATTGCTCCGATGAGCTGCTTTTGCTGGTTCCCAGACTTCGCGAATTCAAGCGTCCTACGAGGCTGGCATCCCGCTCTCACCCTTTCATTGTTGAAACTTTTAAATGTAGCCGCCTCTTCTACTTCAATAGCTTCATATCTCGCACCTCTCGCCTGCGGAACTCCCTTCCCTATTCCTGTTTCCTGATAGCTATAATCTCCAACTATTCAAATGTAATGTCAATCGACATCTCCAGTTGTCTTGAACTATCCACTATCCTTCTCTTCATCCTTTCCTCTATCACTCCTATCTGTTCTTGCTCCATATCCTATGTAACCCCTTGCGTGCTACTGGCTTCCCTTGCTTGGGGTGAAATGCTTAAGTCATTTAGCCATCTTGACACCATTACTCGTACGACTCACTAAAAAACCCTTTGAGTTATCCTTGAAAGAGAACAGGTTAAAATCTTTTTTGTGTTATCCCCACTATATGTTTCAAACTGATAAATGATGAGAAGAAAAAACTCATTCAGGCCTTCAGTAATTATACTAACATTCATACTCTGGATTTTCATCCATTCAAGAAACATCAAGAGAACAATGATTAAGTTTTAAAAGAGAGAACAGTAGAGAGGAAAATTGGATCAGGAGGACACAACAAAAAATGGGATCATCATTTCAACTTAGAGCTAAAGAGATCAATTAGAAAAGATCCAACTCAATCCATAAGACGTTTGGCACGTGAGAGAGAAATTTCAGCTATGACACTGAATTCGTACGTGAAACGTGTGAGGCAACTTATTACACCAGGACAGAAAGTTAGATGGTTTGAGAGGGCGAAGATCATCTTGAAGAAGTTGGAAAATGGTCCTGGAATAATATATATATATATATATATATATATATATATATATATATATATTTGAAATTTATATCAATCCTTCATGATCTTCCAATCCTTAACCATGTTTAATTAATGATGAACATGTCATTTTCGTTTATGATCGATTTCATCACGATTCTTCTGTTAAGCTTGGAGAGTAATTATACATTCTTATTGCTCGAAGTAGACTCCAAGAATGTTATAATGATCTCGGAGAATTCTAGTAAGATATATTTAATTAATTCTAAGCTACAACGATTAAAAGCTTAATTTAACAATTAGAAAATTTTGGTGTTACACGATTTGGATAATGTTGCTGCAACATCTGCTTTAATATCCCTACTTCTATAATGGCAGTGAATGCTGGACAATCTTAAACGTGGAGATAAAACTGGAATCAGCATACTCAGAAAGATGTTGACATTTCCATGAACAAAGAAACGAAAAATCTTTAAGGAAAAAGTAAACAAAAAAAAAGATACACACTCAGAATCGGAATTAGGCAACGAGATTTTTCTAAAAGGATATTGAGGAAGGAGGTCTTGGAGAACTTAAATCTTTCAGAGTATATCGAAGTCAAAAGAAACAGGTGAATCCATCCGGTCACGTGACTGATAAACATGTCTGAATGAATGGAGGAACAGGGAGAGTTACTCTTGGTGAAGAGACAAGCGTTGCTAAGGGCTACAGCGGATAGTAGCTCGTGGAGAGCCATAATCTTCCACATCCTCAATGGACACTGCACATAGAAGAAGAAGAGGAAAAAGAATTATAGCCAGAAGAAGAACGGATATGGGTACTGTTATGTGACTTTACCCATAAGAACATAATGGACTATTCCATACTGTTATGTGACCTTACCCGTAAGAACATAATGGACTATTCCATACGTAATAAATACTGCGCCTCAAGAGAAAGCAGAGAGTTCAGTCTGAAGTCTGGAGTGAGGTCCGTCAGGAGTCTGTCAGTCAGAGCGAGCGAGTCAGTCAGTCGAGTTAGAGGCAGTCCGAAATAGACTCGTGTTCAGACAATTACTACTAAACCTGATTGTTCGTACTAACACTTTCTACTTCTCTGTATATATTCCTGTTTGTAATATATCTGTGTTATTCCATATACGTGTTCGAGTTCTTCTTTATTGGTTCTACCTTGGACTATCACCGTGGTACAAGGAGACAGGTACAAATAGATTTTCAGATTGTCTACTTGGTAGAAAGCAAAAAGTAATATGCTAAATAATTACTGGGATTTTTTTTTCCTTTTTTATTCGCCTATCACGTGAACGGTTGCTGTTCTCCACAGTTTCTCATCCTTTCTATCCAAAAATTAATGTATCTCTTTTACTCTATCTCCCAGTCACTGTTCTACCAATTATTAGTCCGTCCTGGGTAAGACGATAAACTACACCCGCGTCCTGTGTAAGACGATAAACTACATCCGCGTCCTGGGTATGACAATAAGCTACATCCGCGTCCTGGGTATGACGATAAACTAAATCCGTGTCCTGGGTAATACGATAAACTACATCCGCATCTAGGGTAAGACGATAAACTACATTCGCGTCCTGGGTATGACAATAAGCTAAATTCGCGTCCTGGGTAAGACGATAAACTACATCCGCGTCTCTCTTACTCTCTTAAGGAGACGGCACTAAAAAGGAACAGGAATTCAGATAACAGAAGATAACGATTGTCACTACATTTAAAATTTTTGAAGATCAAAGTTGACTGGAAAGCTACGAACAGAAGGCAAATTTCCACAAACGTGCGTCGTAAAAATAACTGTTAACATAGAATTTACACTTTCCGTTTTACCTGTAAGATGCTGGGACCTTACTGCCAATCTAGTAATTCGTATAAATTCATAAAGTCTAGGTACCAAAGAGGAAGGCTCAGAAGAAAAATTACCATGAACATATTATTGGAAAATTATAAGTGAATGGCAACAAAATGGTTAGTATAGGATCAAAAGTTACTCATAGCAATAAATGGCAGGGGCTGTGAAGTGCTATGATCGAAGACTTCCTTATTGCAGATGGCTCATAAAAGAGTAAAATACACAATGCAACCTGTGTCTTTTGCGTCAGAGCAATGAAAAACTTTGGAAAGAACTTTGGAGAGAGAGTAATTACAAAAAAAACTACACACGTATTTAGAGATCAGATGTTAAGGTTCCTTTCTTCTGTTATAAATATTGATTACAGGTGTTTGCAGCTTCAACTTGCCAAAACAAGTGTCCAAGAGTTATGAGAGCGGTGATCATCACTCAATAATAATTGAATTAATTTCTGCTTAGACCAATTTTCTGTTTAACAGGCAGATAATTTTAGTTGCTAGTTGCACAGATACTAATACTGATAGATATATAGGAAGATAGAAAGACTCTGCAGGGTAAACTACATTAGACACGCAGTTAAGAACAAATTGAGATTAAAATATATATATATATATATTTATATATATATATATATATATATATATATATATATATATATATATATATATATATATATATATATATATATGTATGTATGTATGTATGTATGTATGTATGTATGTATACTTATATATAAATATAAACCGGTCCAGATAGGCAATAGATATATAGATAGATAATGAACTGAGGACCTAGATAAATAGATCTACATATATATAAATAACAATAAGATAGATAGATAGATAGATAGATAGATAATGAACCGAGGACCGAGATAAATAGATCGATATATATATAAATAACAATGAGATAGATAGATAGATAATGAACTGAGGACCTAGAATTTTAGTTGCTAGATCTACATATATATAAATAACAATAAGATAGATAGATAGATAGATAGATAGATAAAATTGAATAGTTATATAACTATGAGTGAGATAAGGATACATATATGAATTACTTACATATAAACAGGTGAAAATTGATTAAGAAATCGCTAGCGAGCTAGCTCGCTAGATAGATATGAATACACTGACATAGATAGAGATAGATATGAATAGACTACGATAGGTACTACTGATATATATATATATATATATATATATATATATATATATATATATATATATATATATATATATATATATATATATACGCTTGAAGATGAAACAGAAATAATGTTTTTAGTTAATTATATAATTAAATTTGAAAATATAATGATTTTATTTGCTAGTTGTCCAGATACTAATACTGATAGATATATAAGAAGATAGAAAGTCTCTGCAGGGTAAACTACATTAGACACGCAGTTAAGAACAAATTGACATAAAAAAATATATATATATATATATATAGGAGGGGTATATATATATATATATATATATATATATATATATATATATATATATATGCATAAGTGGATGTTTAGGAAATATATATATATATATATATATGTGTATGTGTACACGCATATATGTATGCATGTACGTGTAAATATAAATATGTTGCTGTGTATGTGTGTATATACGTATGTGTTTTTGGGCATAGAAATAATAGGTCCTTGCTAGATTAAATATTTGTTATTTTTTATATGTTTATATTAAATTTGTAACCTGTAGGTGATATTACTTTTGTCAAATTTTCTTGATTGAACAGAGGCTCTTTTATAAATGCCCTTCGGATTTAGTTACACCCCCATCTCCCCACTTTTTTTCTCTCATCTTCTGACTTTTAAGTTTAGATTATATCGTCTTTTATTGTGCGGAGTGTCACCAAAAATGTATACAGCCATTTCCGGTGTCGGTTTTTAATTTAATTTAGGCCAGCGATTCAGTAATGAATTATGCATAGGAAAATAAGTCATATTTACCTGTATCTCACTCATTTAAACCGTCATTTAACTCTTCTCTCTGTTCAATTTTAATCCCTACCTTCACTTTTAGGCCTTCATGTTCTTCTCTCGTCTGTTACCCACCTCTAGATCTTTCTTTTGCCTCTCACGTTCGTCCCCCACTCTCATGCATAAATTCTCATTGAATTTTATTTTTATTCCCGGAGTTATTTTTTCTGATTTCTTTTTTAATTTGAAAGTCTGATGAATTAGATCGTAATTACGATTTCAATGTCATAAATTATAACCATGGAATATTAGTGTTTAACCCTTATTATTATTATTATTATTAATATTATTAATAGAAATCTTGTAAGTATAAGAAATTATACTCGCTCGGAAAACCTTCGATGTCTTGATTTGTAAATAAACAAGTCAATACCAAAGGGGAAAAAAGGTATAAAAAAAAGAAAGAACCAAGAACATGTACGTTACTCGAAAAGTCCGAAGTCCAAAGAAGAAGAAAACACGATACGAGTAGGCAAAATAATTAAATAAAATGATCAATACAATGACCTAATTAAACCTAGAGAGTCAGACAAACCCTTCCCTGTCGATCCGCTTAGGTGAAACCTTGGTAGGTTTGTCTGGCTCTGTAGGTTTTTAATATATATATATATATATATATATATATATATATATATATATATATATATAAAGTGAAGTTGTAAACTGTGACTATTAATGCTGCTAATGCCAGACAGTTCAGTAAAAACGAATCGAGTTCTCCCAGTCACTGGCGTGTTTATCTAAAATAAATACGCTTAAATTCACCTTCACCCATGCTGTGAGCCAGTGGATTAGGGGTAGATACTCCGAATGACAACTAATCAGTCGGTTTTCGATCCCAGCTTCAGACATTCGGATGTCTATCTACACTGATGAGCTGCGAAAGAGTCTCTCTGTAGATGACTATATATATATATATATATATATATATATATAACGAATGGAAAAATCAACATGCAACTGCAGGACAGGATCAGAGTGCCCAGTTGAAGGAATATGCATGGCAGAGAACACAATATATGAAGCAACAATTTTCTTCAAAGAAAAGGTTGAAGAGAAAAAAATATACATTGTAATATCAGCGGGAGATTGGAAACACCGACTATACAACCATCGCTAATCCTTCAAAAATAAATGTTAAAAAAAAAAACAGACCGCACTATCAAATCATTATTGGTTTTTGTTGGAGAGTGGCCTAACACCACAAATAAAGTGGAGAATAATATCAAGAGCCAGAACTCCCAAAAACTTCAGAGACAGATGCAACTTATGTTTGAAGGAGAAAATCTTCATAATCAAACATAAAGATCCAGACATACTACTAAATAGACACAATGAACTAGTTTTTAAATGCCGGCACAAAAACAACCTAAACCTAAGCAAGTACACTAAGAAATAATCATATAGGAACAGCAATTTTGAATGTTTTATATTCCCTTTGTTTTTAGAAATATTACTATGCACACGTGAACGCTAACACATGACTATATGTATACAACTATGATAATGTATTTGCACACTGAGACACATGTTGATATGTACATGTATATGTTTTTATACGGAAAAAGAAGCATACCAGTTTTTTTGGGTTTTTTTTGTAAGTGTGGAGATGTACAATTAGATAGGTACTTATATGTTTTGCCATAAATATGAAAGATCGGGTAATATTATATGTGTAAAGATATAGATAATGTAATTAAATACTGAGATAGTCTTCGAACGCAGGCATAAGTGGATGCACGGGTGGACATGAGGATAGGGACAAATACGTGGGTAGATATATGTAAGTGCAAATTAACGCATATGTGGGTATGTAGATATTCTGCATATTGCGTATGCATATGCATATGTGTGTGTATGTATATGTATTGGAAGTGAATTTTAAATAGCACGAAGGGAAAGTTTAGATTGGTATTTTAATTGAGATTGAAAGATACTACCCCAGTGTGGAGAATAAAATTATTTAAATGGGTATAACTGTTGATAATTGGGTACATAAAAACAACCACGAGTTTACTTAATGAACAAAAATCAAACGAATAAATGTCAACCTAACAAGCTATAAGGTAAAAGTTTTAGTGGAAAAAAAATTACTAAATATAAATTGGATTGCTCTTTCAATGTTCTGTCTATGGATTTTTCCAATCGACTGTTTCATAGAAAATACCCAAAACTTCACCGAATTTCAAATTAATTTCTTCGTAGATTGTTTTAAAATTTAAATGTTTATCAAACCTTAACCTCGCAAATATGCACGTTAAAGTAACGCGAACTGACAGCGTCTAAGAATTTGAATGAAACCTGTCGTGTAATTTATTGGGGTTGTTGTAACGTCTTCCTTTAATGTAGTTCTTATCGTTCACCCCTAGGCCACCTTTATCTAGAGACGAGACGCGTTAAATTTGAGCAACATCCAGCCGACGCACTTGGGTTAAAATAGGAAACTAAAATGATACATATGACACACTCATATCCTCTCTCCCACCTCACTTCCTCACTTCGTTAACTTTGCGTATGAGGTCCGTAAAAATCGTGTGAATTTCTTTTCATTTTTCATTTCAGCTTTTGGAAGTAAAGTCTGATGATCCAGAACCCTGTTAAAGGGGTTATGGTGAAATAGCTTATTACATGGAATCTTAACGTGGCCTGTCTTTTATTCAAACAAATATATAGATAGATAGATAGATAGATAGATAGATAGATCTAGTGATCCAGACAAACCTACCTAGGTTTGTTTGGCTCACTAGGTGTATCTAGGTCTACTCTACGGTTGTATTGAGCTCTTTTGTTAGTTAGTTGTTACTCGTATCGGGGTTTTTTCTTTGGGCTTCAGACCTGCATCTGTGCGATTTTTTTGTCGGCAGAAGTTCATGTTTGTAGATCTTTCTTTTTTTAAAACCTTTTTTCCGCTCGAAATTGATTTGATTATTAGCAAATCAGAAATTCCAGGTTTTTTCGAAACGAGTCTAATTATCTATATTTATATGTATATATAAAGTCCGCGAATATGAAGCCGCGAATGCGTATATATATATATATATATATATATATACACGCATACATATATATATATATATATATATATATATATATATATATATATATATATATATATATATATATATATTCATTGGCTTCACACATTCTTGGTCTTTACTTGAGAACATATATATTGTTATCCACAGAAACCTTGAATATTCGTGTGTATTTCTAAAGAACACGTGTACAAATTATTCGCTAAGAACTTCGATTCGCGTATTTTTTCGTTAGAACGTATTTTAAATATTCTTGCATCAATTTCCTGTTATTTAAGTGACATATAACAATCCATTTTTATTGTAAAAATTGTCAGAATTTACAACTTCATTGTAAAAAAAGAAATGCAAGAAGATGAGTAGTACTTGGGCTTTGCTCTCTGATAGGGGCTACGGCTGGGGTCTTAAATGTAGCATATGTTAAGTCTCGGGGTATCATCTCAGTTTTGTTTTTAGAAAATGTTTTAAAATTAACATTTTATGTCTTGTTACGCATATTTTATGAAGTATTTTCAATGGTTTTATCGATCTATGCATAATTAAAAATGATTATTGCAAGTATGAAAAAAAATTTACGCTATACTATTTTTTCAAAAATGATTTTAAAAGGGTCTGAAATATTTCTAAAGTGTTTGAAATGAAAGGTGAAGGCCTATGAGGTTTTAACAATCAAAATAGGTAATTATAAGAACTTTTAGCGGGATTACAAGTATTCGTGGATTCTAACTATTCGCGACCGGTTCTGGTCCGTAAACCCCCGAATCCAGAGGATTCACTCTGTATATATATATATATATATATATATATATATATATATATATATATATATATATATTGGCTGGCTACTCGTTTACCAAGCATACACGTCTGCTGGATGTTGCATGCTCAAGATACAGAGAACCCACCTGTGGCTTATATTGCGCATAATCTGTCATGATAAGGATTCTTTGATCATCCTGCCTGTTATTTCATTATCTCGGCCACGATGACTTGTAACTTCGTGCTTGTACAAACAGACGATTACGTGTATTTATATAAAAATAGATTTCGATTAATGTGAGCCAACAAATCAGATGTACATGAAAAATACGGAGATTTACACTTGTCATATTACTGTAGGGCTTTTTTTAAGCGTTTCACCTCAAGCAAGGCGGGAAGCCACTAGCACGCAAGGGGTTACAGAGAGTTGGAGCGAGAGGATAAAAGAGTGATAGAGGAAAGCATGAAGAGAAGGAGAGGGGATAGATCAAGGCATCTGGAGACGTCGATTGACATTACATAGTTGGAGATTATAGCCATCAGGGAAACAAGAAACGGGTACGGAGTTCCACAGGCAAGAAGTGCGAGGCATGAAGCTATTGGAGTAGACGAGAAACGGCTACATTTAACAATTTCGACAGTGAAAGGGTGAGATCAAAATGCCAGCCTAGTTGAACGTTTAAAATCATGAAATCTGGGAACCAGAGAAAGCATTCATCGGAGCAGTTATCGTGAAGGTATTTGTAAAAAAGACAGAGGAAGGCGACGGCACGTTATTATTATTATTATTATTATTATTATTATTATTACTACTACTATTATTATTATTATAAATAAATAAATAAAATATAAAATTATAATAAAAATAAAACAATAACACAAAATCTTTGTCTAAAAATGAATTAAGTAAACGTTAAAAATAATAAAAATTACTCTCCCAGAATCAATCAAAAACTGTTCCTGATGGAAATACGGATACCCCACCAAAAGAAGTTAAAATCAATGTCTTCACTCGAACCTTCGTACGGACAACACGTGTCCAAGTTCTCTCTGTGATATGGCGTGTAATACTAAGGAGTAAATCTCTCCCGTTTATCACATGTACCATAATACAATTGTAACCTAAAAATACACACATCAATAAACACAAAAATGTAAATAAATTGTATGAAATTAACATGGAATTTACCGCGCTTTTTCTGTTTTTGTGTACGTTTTATTTCCAGTTACATATGCTTTTATCTCCGTGAACATGAAGTTAATTTCTGCTGCAATAATAGGAGGAGTGAATTCCCCACATTACCTTCAGCTCAATAAGTTGTTATTCTTTTGTTCGTATTAAATATTCATTATCAAATCCATTGCCATTATTTTTCCTTCATAAATTTATTATAAACTAACAATTCCAAAACCAATATTCGCCCAAAATGGCTAAAGTGGATGAAAGCGCTTGGGACAATGAAAAATATGGACAATTTCTCTACTCCTTTCCTTCTACAAAACCGATAAAAACGTAAGAATGCTGGAAAAAACTAAATAAAAAATAATTAAATGTTCTTTGTCGTATTTAAGGAGCGATGTCTAAAAGAAAGGCCGCTGCCCAAATATACACATACACACATATACACGTGTCTTTTTCTCTCTCTCTCTGTGTGTGTGTGTGTGTGTGTGTGTGTGTGTGTGTGTGTGTGTGTGTGTGTGTGTGTGTGTGTGTGATTATGCATGTAGAAATGTCATATACTTTAATATCGTTCGTAATTTTTCCTCGAGATCCGCTTCGTTTATTCATCTGACTTGTTTGGCTTTGATTCCTGATGATTTTATGGAGAAGCAAAAAGAAACATGCAAGAATCACAAGAAAAATTAGATATCGAATCAGTGAACCAATCAGGCAAGACTTGCATCGAGAGAAAAAATAAAATGCGCACATTTGACGCCACATTTATTTTTTTTATTTTCATTTTTTTTTTTTTTTTTTGCCGTTTATTTTTAAAGAATATTGTCAAGTTTTAGAATAAAAAAAAGTTCAGTTCGAAAAGTGTAGAAAGGAAAACTCATTTTTTTCTTCATAAATATTGAGAATTAACTCAATATAAACTCAAGTTTGTTCGTGTTTTTCTAACTTTGTTGGGAATATGGAAACAGATTATTCTTGTTTTGCTTTGCTCAGAGCAAAATTTAAAAAATATCCACTCATTTTTCGTGTTACCTGGTTTTTTTTCTGTCTTTCTGCTTTTTGTGTTTTTGTATTTATTTACTTTGAGAATGTTCATTTTGACAAACTTATGTCCTTATTAACATAATGTTAGATATTTCGGCCGCAGGAGAAAGTCATATTCATGCAGTTGTTGTTTTGTTTTCTTTCTTCGTTTTTGGAATTTTTTCTTTTCTTTTTTTTTTAATTATTGTTCATTTTTCTTCTGTGTCTCCAGTAATATGTTTGTTTTTTTTTTTTTTTTATTGTTTAACTTTGTAAATTTTTACGCCTGCGTTTTATTTCCTCATCACTTTCTCTTACGCTGCATTAAAAGTCTTCGTCCGCCATTTTTTTAACATAATTTTTCCTTCGTTTTCTTTACTAACATTTTATTGTTTTCTCATTTTTAGGTTAATTCTTTCTTTTTTTATTCCCTATTCTTATTTTTCTTTTCGTATTTCTTCACATTATTTTTCTTCATTTATCTCATTGATCTGTCTTTTTCATTCCTTTTCTTTCTTTTTTTTGCAGCTACGTTTTTGATTTTCTTTCTTTCATTCTTTCCTTCCTTATATTTTTCATTTCCGTTTATCTTTCTGCATTTCTAAAGTTTTTTTCTTTCTTTCGTTATTTTATTCATGTTTTAGTTTTTTTCTTATCTTTCTTTAGTCAATAAACGTTTACTTCTTTAATTCACCTTTTCTTTTTATTTCTTCTCTGTTTTTTCTTCATGCCATGTTTCATTATTTATTCCTTCATTGTGAGGTTTCTTCTGACATCTTCTCACATTTCTTTATTTTCTTTCTTTGTTTATTTATTGAGTAATTCTTTCTTTTTATTTCTTTATTCTTTTTACTTTCTTTTCATTTTCGTTCTTTACCATCATTTTTTCCTCCTTTCTTTTCTTTCTTTTTCATTTATTTATCGATTAATCACTTGTTCCTTTCTTCTTCTGCTTTTTTCTTTCTTTCTTTTTTTTTTGGGGGGGGGTCCTTCCTATTCCAAGCGTCTTTCTTTCATTCTTAATTTCCTCGCGCATTGCTGTTTCCCACATATTTTTTTCGTTCCTTTATTCATTCTAAACTTCTTATCATTCTTTCTATATATACGCTCTATTTTATTTTTCTTTCTTTCTTATTAACTTTTTTTTCACTTCTTTGATCCACAATCTTTATTTTTTACCAAATCTACCTTGTGCTATTTTACTCTCTATTTTATTTCGCCCTCTTTTTTCCTTCCTTCCTTCCTTCCTTCCTTTCTGCCTTCCTTCCTTCCTGCCTTTCTTTCCTTCCTCCCTTCCTTTCTTCTTTCCTTCCTTCCTTCCTTCCTTTCTGCCTTCCTTCCTTCCTTCTTTCCTTCCTTTCTGCCTTCCTTCCTTCCTTCCTTTCTTCTTTCCTTCCTTCCTGTCTGCCTTCCTTCCTTCCTTCGTTTTCCCCTTTGCATCAACTCTTTTCTGTCTTCTTTCATTCCATATTTCTGTTATTATTCCTTCCTTCCTGTTTCTGCCTTCCTTCTTTCATTCTTTTTCTTTCCGTTATTTTCTTTCAATCATACTTTCCTTTTCGAATGTCTTCTTTCATTCCATATTTCCATTCATTATTATTCTTTCTATCTTTCTTGTTTCTTTTTCATTCTTCGTTCGTTTCTTTTCTTTCAGGACAAATTTTTTACTTGTTTTCTTTCATTCTTTTTTTCTTTTATTATTCTTTCTTTCTTTTTTCCAATTCATTCTACTTTTCTGTGTTTCTTCCATTTTTTCCTTCTTTTTTTTCTCTCCAATTCATTTCTTCCATTCATTCTTTTCTTTCTTGTTTTTTCTCTCATTCTTTCTTTCATTCATTCTTTCTTTCTCTCCTTCTTTCTTTTATTCTTTCTTTCTTGTTTTCTCTCATTCTTTCTTTCTTTCTTTCTTTCATTCTTCCTTTCTCTCATTCTTTCTTCCATTCATTCATTCTTTCTTCCTTTCTTTTTTCATTCTTTTTCTTTCTGACTTTCTTTCTTACATTCATTCTTTCTTTCTTCCTTTGCTTCATTCATTCATTCATTCATTCATCCTTTCTTTCTATTTACGTTCAAATTTGTTCCTTCTTTTTTTATCTTTCCCTCTTTATTCTATCATTTTTTTTCTTGTTCGTCTTTATTATATTCACATTCCTCCTTTTTCTTTTCTTGCATGTTTGTTTGTTTTTTTCTTTCCTCCTTTCCCCCACTTTCCCAATCTGTACTTCAATTCTGCCATCACTTCTCCCTTGTTTCCTTTCTGTCCTCTCCCTTTCTGTTTTCGTTTCTTCCTCTTTTCTTCCTTCTTTACTCTCAATCAACATTCCTTCTCCATCGCCTTTTTCCAACCTCGTTCTTTAAAACTAACTTCTTCTTAACACTCTCTTCTTTTCTGCTTATTATCAGCTTTCTTTCTCATTCTCCTGTTTTTTTTCTTCTTTCTATCCATCTCTCTTTCTCATCTTTCATTTTACTCTCATCTCTTATATATCGTCTCTGTGAGCGTGTACGTGTGGAGTCTATGTGTGTGTGTGTATCTGAGTGTTGATTTGTTTGGGCAATTGATTATTTGAAAAATTAGTTGTTTCAAAATAAAACCCATTTGGGCATTTCTAAAAATTCATATATATATATATATATATATATATATATATATAGGCAATTCATATATATATATATATATATATATATATATATATATATATATATATATATATATATATATATGTATGTATATATGATTGATTCATTTTTTTGATGACGGTTCTTTTATATTTATTTTTTCTTTATGTTTGACAAGTTTCACACCTTCGCCAAATGTTTTATGCCACTCGTTTTCCCATGGTAGCCGCCACAGAAAATGACATTTTACCTCGTCAGTAAAAAGCCCTATGAAGCAATAGAATTATTTTTTTTCATTCTGTCTGATAAAAAGGAAGACATTGATTTTGTCTCCTTCTCTTTTATGCACCTTTCACATTCTGGATGTGGGTTATGATACCTCTCCACAGCTTCCTATTATTTGTGGCTCTAAGCATTCTTTCCACCTGTCTGTCTCTTCCATTGCTTGTTCTGCAATCAGTTTACACAAACTTGTTTTCATTTATTCGTTTTTCCTCTACCACTGTTGCCCTCAATATGTACTCTGAGTCAAATTCTTCAAGCCGCATTTTCTCATAATTATTCCAGTTTTTTTTAGAATCTAAAATCCAAATGGGTTACCTGCTGTTTCTTTTACCTTCAATATGTCCTGCTTTCAAACTGAAGTTCCTTCACACCCAGGTAAAGATATCCAAATTCAAAGAAAGACAGCTTAGTACTGAGAAAAACGCAGTTTTTTTTTTTTATTTTAAATAATAGTTTCAGACTATTATGTTTTAGTGACAGTGTATTTTGGTTCAAACCTTCAGAGGCTGACCTTTAAGGTCAGATGGTAGACAAAACAGAGGAAGTCGTTTTTGATTGGTTAAAAGGAGCGTGGAAATGTTAATATAATGATTTATAAATACAGTTTCTACTAATTAACCCATAACTGGGCAGAAGAGAAGGATGCATACATTTCCCAGGGGTGCTTGCACGAAAGTAAATATACCGAATCCGATTTCCAATTCCAAGCCGTTATCCATTACACCACCCACACATACAAGCTTCCAGCACCTGATATTCTGAAGCGGTCAACCACCTAGGTACGGAACAATCTCGATACTGCTTAACTTAAGGATCGCGTGTTCAAGCGTGATTTGGTCGTAAGCGCCCTTGCTGATTGAAAGATTGAAGTGACACGTCTTTACAAAGGGCATTAGTGCTATTTAACCCATAACCAGTCACGGATGATGGATTTATACTTTTACTAAAGGAAATTATGCGAAAGTGAATGCTACAGACTAGCCCAGAATTTGAACTCGGTTCGCTGGTTCCAATGTTAACCCCGATATCCTTTACACTACCTGCGTCCCAAATATCCATGTAATAATAGGACCCTGTGAAGAAACATGATAGACTTCTGTTTAAAGTTCCATTTCATAAAGTAAAGTTACCATCCTATTTTAGCAAAAGTACATATTTGTTACAGTAGATGTTACAACAGATGTCACAGTAGATCTTACAATACTTGTTATAGCAGATGTTACAGCAGATGTTACAGTAGATCTTACAATACTTGTTATAGCAGATGTTACAACAGATGTTAGAGTAGATCTTACAATACTTGTTAGAGCAGATGTTACAACAGATATTACAACAGATGCTGCAGCAGATGTTGCAGTAGATGTTAACCTTGGAACAAAACTAGTAACCTTTTGTCATCACCAAGCAGACATAATTTTCACCCGCCATGAACGGCTGCACTTTCAATGAGGCTCCATGCATAGATAGTCTATAGGGACTCAATTTAACCCTAGATATCAAGTGAAGCATACTTAGCGATTCAGATGCAGAGAAAATGATTGATTCATTGTGTCTTTCCTAAAAGTATCAGATACCTCCTGCCATGCTCTATCTTGATAAGAGCCAGATCAGACCCAAAAGGGAATATGTCGTAACTGATATATTACGGGCCAATCCTCCCTTTCCAAGCATGACAAAGTTCAAATGTCTTTACGTGACCTTGTGGCCGATGAATTATTTTCAACCCTGAAGCCACTTTCTCCGGACCCACCAAAAAAAAAAAAAAAAAACGTCACAAGCCTATTACTACTCGATCGATATTTCCATGGCAAAGGTTTAGAAATATATTTCTTAGTTCCCACAGTCCAGACCTTGGGCGAACATCTTAAAAAGAAAAAAATTTGCCAGTCATTTCTAAGTTAAAATATCAGGGTGTTTGGAAAGTAACAATGTTTTCCCAGTAGAGATAGAAGGCACGGTGGAGTAATCGATATCGGCTCGGATTGATGAATCGTAGTGCCGAGTTCAAATTCCAGTCGGATCCATTATATTCACTTACGTGCTAATACCCTTAGGAAAGGTATAAATCCTCCTCTTCTCCCCCCAGATATGGGTAAATAACAATTATTTAAATATCGATGAATTGTTTTCAAACCTGAAGCCACTTTTACTTTCGCCGATATTTCCATGTCAAATGTTTAGAAATACATTTCTTAGTTAACACAGTCCAGACCTTTACAGCTAGAACCGTCACTCCACATACACTATGACGAATCTTCCTCCTTCCGTTCGTATTCAAATGGGCGACAACTGGTGAAGGAGAAGGCCAATTCGGAATTCAAAACCTGATTCTCCAGGTTGGGGTTTGTGCAGTAGGCTAACAGCCTTAAAAAAACTGGCTTGTTACAGAAAACGCAACGATATCTTGCTACTCTATGTTCCTCAAGGAATTTAAAGGCATAATATATCCTAGAAAGGATATAAAACAAATTTAAGTTAAATTTATTCAAATATTATTCAGCAAAAATTTCATCAATTTCATATTCAATGCCTGAAGCCCAATGGAAAGGGAGATTTATTAAACTTATAAACAAATCTGTTTTTTCTACGACACTAATTGATAGATCGTTTTTTCCTGAATGTTCTGTTGTTTATGAAGTATTCTAGTGATCCAAATAAATGAAAAATATGTCGATGCCAAGTTTGGTATGTATGGGAGTATGTGGAAGAATTTTCTATTCTAACGATATTCTTTGTTCTACTGCTAATTTTGCAGAGATTCCTCTATGAATATCACATTGGATAACACACCATTTTTTCCCAAACTAAGACACTTTTGCGTACCCAATCAAACTGCTTCAATAAACAGTAACATTTACAGACATGTTCCCAGAGCTCGTATTGGAAGTAACTTCTCATGTTCCACCAAACAAAGCATTTCTCATTTTGTAATAAGCTCTCTTTTTCATTTTTCTTAAAACACAAAACCAAAATTTCATACCCTGTAAAAAGAAAAAGAGTTCTAATATTCACTCCTTCCTTCTGCATCTACTATATATTAATCTGTTTTTAGATGTTTACCAAGGGAGTTTTCTTTGGACGACAAGCACGAAGTCCTGCTCGGCGAAGGTATCTAGTGATTGCATGTTCGTTAATAAATTCAACCCTGTTGTCTGTAAATCCTTGTCAATGTCTGTTAAGTAAGGGTTCTTGGAGACATTTCTAACAATTTTCCTTTCCTTTTCTTTTCATAAATTAACCGTTTTTTGCCAGTCATTAAATTTCTCAAAACAATGAGTCTAGTTTTACCTCGAAGGTTCTCCGACTTGTCGATCGAGGAAAATTTAAATATTTGAAAAGTGATGTATATCCATCACCCTCATCATCATCATCATCCTTCGGCCTCCCTATGGTTGGTCGTAAGACCATTAACAATCCCTTATCACATTGTTCGTACCTGCATTGCTGTCCCTAGATCCCTAATGTTCAACCCTGAGTCCTCACTTATGTACCTACGGGTACGCGTCATCTGTCTTCATTGGAAGTTTGTGGTCAATTTCTGCAGACTTCACATGATATACAAATATTCAGAGGGAAGGGAGTATTTATCATCAACAACTGTAAATATGAACACATGCATATTTGAAAAAAAAACTAATTTATATACAGGGTGTTTCAAAAGGAATACTCCAATATCATCACGTAATATGTCAAAAACGAAAAAAATTACAAACCTCTAGCATGAACAGGTGTTATATATATACATTCAAGTTTCATTTCATGTTTTATAAGTGATCAATGTGGCCACCACCGGCAGCGCGGACAACATCAAGCCAATATAAGAATTCTTCCCAAACGCGCCTCAGCATGTCACGGTCCACCGTGTTGATTGCAGCTGTTATTCGATTTTTCAAGTCATCGATACTTGCTGGAAGTGCTGGAACATAAACTTGGTCTTTAACATACCCCCACAAGAAAATGGTTACACACAGTGAGGTCCGAGGATCTGGCATGCCAAGCACAGAGAGCAATGTCTTTAGCACCTCTCGTCCCAGTCAATCGCTGAGGCACGTTTTCATTCAGATAAGCTCTAACCCCGAGATGCCAATGGGGTAGTGCTCCATCTTGCTGAAAAATGAAGTCATTCGAATCTGCTTGCAGTAAAGTGAATAGCCATTTTTGGAGGATTTCGAGATAGGTTTGTCCTGTTTGTAGCTGCACAGGAAGTTATACTAAAGACAGCGGTGAAACTGACACCCAATCAAACTTTGATAACGACTCTATCAAATAACCACTGATTCAGTCCACTACAATGCTATAGACCTGAAAAAAACAGTGTAATGATTTTGGTGTATTCTTTTTGAAATACCCTGTATTTTATTTCCCTTTTATACTTGCGCACAAACTGGAAATGGTTTTTCTTTCACAATTCCAGCATACTTGTTCTAAAGCTGAACATTTTTCCTTGTCCCAATCATACTTTTTATCACAATATTTGCATTACACAAATTAATTCGATATGCCAAATGCTTTTGGCATTATGCTCGAAGGTAGTGAATTTTTCAGTTAACTCTAATTCTTGCAGAAACTCTATAGATGCTTCCAGGGAGATTTCAGTCATTTAACTCCGTTCATCGATGTTTCTAAAGAATGTGACCAGCTGTAAAAAGGCTACAAATATTTTAGCAAAATCAAGCAAATCTTGAACGTGTCTCTCGTAATCTTCAGCAACATTTGAATTCAGAATTATCAAACAAAATTCATTAGCTTTCACTTCGCATAAAGCAAGGTGCTCAATTTGAAATCTAGATTGTTTCTCCAGAAAAACTTTGATCACGGGTTCCGTAACCACGTATACTGCTGCCTCAGTAAAAGTGGTGTGTCTTGGGTAAAAGTGTCTGATGGAGCCTAATCCTCTTCAGGCTGATTTGTGTATCTATTCTCCTACAACGTTTGCCAACCAAGTCTGTCCTACTATTTATCCATATGAGGGAGAGAGTAAAAAGAGTTGTATTCTTACTTTTACCAAGGGTATTAGCGCGTAAATGAATGTAATGAACTCGACAGGAACTCAACCTCTACGATTCTTCAATCTGAGCCGCAACCCAACGCTAACTAGAAAATATATACAGTTAAAATATGCGAATGATGAGAATGACTAAAAATGGTCGCACATTTGCGCTTACACTATTTCTTTTATACAACTCTATTTCCGTCGCTTCAAGTTAACTCTGTGAGAAGATAGTCGAGGATCCATTGCCATATAGGAGAGTCAATATTAAACAACAATTAAGTACTCCTTTATTTGTTTCTAATAAATTTTCCCTGTTTGTTAGTACCTCTTTTTCTTATTTTACTTACTCCTGGGTATGACGATAAATAACATTCGGCATTAAGGCCTCTGATCGGGAGATTGGAGGTTTCAAGTTGTGTGGAAGCACATTTTAATTGCTACAGCTTCCTCATCCGGGGTGGTATCACCTGTTAGGGGGACCCAGTTTTGAGAAAAAAAAAACATCAAACGCCTTACTTTTCTCTGTTTTCAATACCTGATTCTAGCACAGTTGGGAAATATGTAAATACAGTGATACCTCGGCTTAAGTCGTTTCGAAGATACGTCGTTTTTTCTTAAATATTGGAAAAATAAAATTCGCCTTACGTTGTTTTACTCGAGTTTACGTCGGCTGTTAAAAATATTAGAAACAAAACAATGAAATAACAAGAAACACATTTAAAATCATTTTTAAATAAATTTACAAATAATATTATAATATATATATATATATATATATATAATAAAATAATCAAAAGATATATATAAATATTCACACATATATATATGTATATATATATATATATATATATATATATATATATATATATATATATATATATGTTATAAAATAATCAAACACAAAATTTAGCATAATAAAGTATGTTCAACAGATGTTCTTATTTCAAATCTCTGTCGACAGACGACCCTCGTTTGTCATTTTTAGCACCAACTTCTATTTTGAATTCAGACTTGTTTACATCTATGCTCTGCCGTTCACGTTCTTTCAGTTACATATCAATTGTGATTTAGAATATATTTTTGTCCATGGCTGCAAAGAAAATCCCCAGTGCAAAAGTTAATATTGCTGGAAGATGAGGTGGAAATTAATTATTTTATTCAGATTACTCTACAAACATATCATAAATACTGTATTAGGCAATGGCAAGTGCTTATTCGCGTTTTATAGTCTGGTTATTTTGACCTAAGTCGTGACCTCTGGAACCAATTAATGACGTAGGGTGAAGTCTACCTGTAGCCAAAATAAGATGACGTATCTGATAGGGTTATTTACTAATTGGTGCCACCAGTGACAGGTGGTATCAGTGGTAACGATGCAAACATGAAGGATTGTAATGCAATAATAAACAAATCATCGTCAGAATTAGTCCCATGACCGGTTATGGTCATAGGGTTATAGCGATCACCTGACACGTTCCTTTCATATAACGAGGTTGAAATCTGAAGATATATTCATTGGTACGTAGCGTGATCTTGGCAAGTAGAGCTCAAAAAGCCCATCCCTGTTCGGGCCAAACTAAGGCCGATATTCTACTATAGTCACGGATACGTGGCTCTTGGGTCCATCGAGGGAACTCTATGCCTTGGCTGTCGATTATTTTTAAGCACATGTTCATAATTATTGTCACTATATTTAAACCCGTACGTTATACACAACTTTCAGTGTTGTGTAGCCACGGTCCCCAGGTTAGACTATTGTGCTGGGTGGGCATTGACACTACAAGAAGCTTGATTCACTTTTTTTCTTTTTTTCTTTTTTGACAGGTTTTTTTTCTAACCTTGCTACGAGTTTAGCAAATAACTCTGGTTAAGGAACCGGTTTGGTCACCGATGACCTAACAATGCAGCGGATAGTAATGGGTTACCTGTCATCAGGAGAACTCGTAGGGAGGAATGGCCGGGAATCCTCAGCAGGTATACCAGACCAGACATTTAATTGCGGTCGCTGCGTCCAGACTTGCCTGTTCCGCAACGGCCTAGACGCTCAGCAGCGTGCCTGAAGTCGGCGTAGACAACCCACTTCATAGATCGTCGTTCGTGAAGCCAGGCCAGGAGAGAGAGAGAGAGAGAGAGAGAGAGAGAGAGAGAGAGGCAGAACTCGTAGAGTGAACTTATATAAAAGCAAATATGACAAAAGTCAATCAAAAATATTTCATTTTTTTAAACAAACCTTTACTTCAAGATCTATTCTGTTTTCTTATATATATTTTTGATGTTATTTTAGAAGCCTTTAGTCTTGTCAAATATAGTTTGAACTTTATTTTTGTTATACAACTAAGACCTTTCATTATCTGTCTATATTTCTGAGATGAGGTATTATGTACACTATTTACGTTATTCGGACTATTGTCCCCATCTTTGTCGCCATATTTATTACAATGTTTAGGTCGTTGTATGCTTCGGCCTTCTTCAGGTGGTTGGAATGTCGAACTGAACCCTTTATTTCGCTCACTGGGGTAGACTGTTCCCGTTCCACGTGCCATGTTTATTGGATGTCAGTTATCAGTTATCTCCTGTTAATTCCCCTCTGCAAGTTCTCCACTGCCTTAACCGGGTATTGAACTCACACTTTTTGGGTACTGTCACTGGATCTAACCAACGCCTTTATCAACTATGCTATGTGCCCTTTCATGTATATTTTTCTAGCTATTTTTTTTTATCCTTGATGATTTTCATATAATCTATTTCAAGTTAACATTCCGCTTTACATATATTAAACAATTACAATATTGCTGTTAGTGTAAGTATTGATTCCCTTATAAGAGTGAGTATTTCAAGTAAGATCTGAATGATGGTTGCGTGTTCTGATCCATCTTTCCTTTACAATGGCGCAGGGAGGCACTGCCAACTTCTACTGTGTGTCGCTGTAGGCGAACTGAGTTTTGGCTGCGAAGACAGTTTCAGCAGAAAACTCAACAAGTGCATTATCTCTTTTGTATCTTCTACCATATCTTACAGCGTTTGGATATTCATTGTGAGATGAAACTGCATTAGCATTTAAACTTCGTATAGGAGTAAAATATCCTTGAGGAACATTACTACTGAATCTGACCATTCATAAAATGTGTCAACGTTACATTCTTTCATAGAGTTCCTCACTTGATCTAATTATTATATATTTCGATATATGGAAAGCGTTTTCGTTTTTTAAACACCTTTACCCCAAAGCTTTTTTTAATAATCTCATGGAATGTCTATTTCTCAACTATATTATTGCTGATTTTATTAGGTTTTTAAAAAAGGAGACGGTGTCCACAAACGTTTTAATCAATTTCAAAAAGTCATTACGAAAAACTTATAAGAGGTGACAAATAAATCTTTTGTTGTATATATATATATATATATATATCGTGGCTGTCCTCTCGGTTTTCGAGCGTGACCACCTCCTTTATTTCATGTCCTCACCCCCTCCCACTCCCCTCAAATTCTATGTATTCGTAGGTGACTCTTCAGGCCAGCCAAACGGCGACAAATTTTGCCACAGATATATATATATATATATATATATATATATATATATATATATATATATATATATATGTGTGTGTGTGTGTGTGTGTGTGTTATAAAATAATCCAACACAAAATTTAGCATAATAAAGTATGTTCAGCAGATGTTCTTACTTCAAATTCAGCAGACGACCCTCGTTTGTTATTTTTCGCTCCAACTTCTATTTTGAATTCAGACTTGTTTACATCTATGCTCTGCCGTTCACGTTCTTTCAGTTACATGCCAATTGTGATTTAGAATATATTTAGAGTATATTTATAAAGTTCTTTTAAAAATATTTTTTATCTTTATCATCCCGTGCAGGGTAATAAAGCCTCTAAGACACACAGTGTTACACGTTATGGAAGAATTCCTCAATCAGAGCCGTAATCCATTACGCCAAATGGAACATATATACAATTTAAATACAGGAATCATGAGAATGACTAAAAGGGCCGCACACCTGCGCTTACACACCTTTCTTGTTACCTACGTGTTGTTATAATACAGAAAGGGAAATTAGCCCAAATTTTCAACATCTGTTTGCATGAACATTCGTGTGTGAGCCTGTATATTTTAATTCAGTAACACACTTAAAACATTTTTTTAAATTAAAAAAAAATTATATTTATTACAATTATTTCTGAAAAATAATATAATTTTTTTTTTTTTTTAATCGGTATCACTCTTTGTAAGGCAGTAAAGCCACTAAGACACTAACAATTTGGAACAGAATTCTTAATAATGAGCTGGAAGAGGAAAGAGTAAACAGGAGGACAGTAGATAGCGAGTGATATCACATTCAATTTTCAGATTAAAGTTGACTGGAAATATTCCAAAACATAAATTCAACAAAACTACGACATAAAACACACATGTCACAGTCTTTAGTAATCATTTTCCATACAAACATGCATAAGCACAAAAGCTCAGTATTATCTACCATGTATTCAACTGTGAAAGAAGAGTAACATAAATCACATTTGCTTCAAAGCTCCCAAGAAAATATAATTTCAGCATTGAATGAGCCAAGAGGAGTCTGTGTGACGTTAAACAACCAAACCAATCATTAAAATCAATCTACACATCTAAGGAAAATCTATGATATTATTTCGTATTCAGTTATTTACGTGCCATGCATGATATACGCTTAGGCGATCATGTATCTTTTGATACATGATTGAAGAGGCGGATTTTTTCCCGCGGTAGGTTGCCATTTCTTTCTGAGGTAGACCAGTTACCTTTCGAGGCTATAGAACCCGGTCTGTCCTGCTATTTACCCATAGCTGGGAGGAGAAGAAGAGAATTCATACCTTTCCCAAGGTTATTAGACGTAAGTAAATGTAATGGATCCGACTGGAATTCGAACTCGGCTCTCTCTGTCCATTACTCCCCGTGTCTATTATGATATATTAGGTTGTATAAAAATATATTTATTTTTCTCGGGCCTCTGCACCTATGTTTATTTCATGTTATCATTTAATAAGTATTTATTAATCCATCATTATTGTTATTATTATTAATATTATTATTAATAATAACATTAATATTATTATTTAAAAAAATCCTTCCAATATTTTTCAGCATTAAAGGGAAGAGCGCGATTTAAGAAAAGAAAAACAATTTTAAACAATATTTCAACAGAATGTTAATAAAAACTTCATTTACAGGTCACCATTTTTGCTATTTCCCGACAGGCTGTACATAAAATGTTCTGTATCTGCTTCGCTGTTCCGAGCAGAAATAGTTTTTGTAATAGTTCTATTTCCAAATCACAATCCAATATCTGCAAGATTTTTTTTTCCCCATGTTTTTGTACAACACACCAATACCCAAAACATCTACAGGTAATTATTTCCTTTGTTATTCAATCCCAAAATCTGCGAATTTCATATTTTAAATCATTGTAGTTGGCTTTGTTTTCATTTCTCAGAAGCAAAAGCCAAGCGACTTCTATCGGGAAGCAAATCTTTTTTCCCCTTTGTCCAACAGAACTTGCTTGTCTTGCACTCTAAATTTGTCACTGTCTTATCGGAAGATCCCACGGTATTTTCGGATTACGATTATATCAAATTCAAACACCGGTTCTCTTACGATCAATGAAGTCAAGCAACGTCGAGTGACCAAGTGAGAACACCAGGTGCTGGAAGCTTGGATGTATTGGGGGTCTAATAAATAACGGCTCGCAATAGAAAAACGAAGTGTCGAGTTCGAATTCAAGTCAGGCTTGTTATATTCACTTACACGCAAATATGGAAAATCATGAATCCACCTCTTCTCCCTCTCTTCAATTAGTAAGATTCGTATAAGCAAAACTTTATCATCTCCAAAATAATATTACAATCTAAGGATATTTTCTGCCTTTAAATAACATACAAAAGGTTGATAAGTTTTTAAAAAAATCAATCCAGCACATTTTTCTAATATTTTTGTCACATTTTCAGAATATTTTTCATTATATTCAACGAACATTTCATATCCCGTCCAATGAATAGTGGCGGCATATTTATCAAGCTTCGATCTTATTTTTATTAATATTCACCCCCATACAAAGCTCAAGAGCCACTCGAGGTAGAGAGTTAACCGTAGATATTTGTTTGGGTTGCTTGGGGTTTTTTTTTATCTTTTACGGCATATCAACCTCAATTGGTTATTTAATGCCGGTAAGATTTTTATTGCTGGTATTTTTTTAATTTTTTTTCAAAAATGTATTGCTGGTAATATTTTTTTTTTAAATGTACTGCTGGTAATAATTTTTCCAGAAATGTATCGCTATTATTAATACCTATTTTGATACTTTCGTAGTATTTTGACCCACTTTGGGTGGTTAACTATTTGACCATATCTGGGACGCTGACAGTTGCTACCACTCCGGATCAGGGTGGACCTGGGAACACCAGCAATTAACTGTAATGGTCGGTGAATCTTTGTCTTCAGCGTTGGTTTCATAACGTAATGGTTCATAGGAAAAATCTCTTCGAGTGGAAATTACTTCTCACCAATGAAATACGAAGAGAATGAGGCTGATTTTCTACAGTGTATTAGTCATGACAGGTCTTAGCTTTAATGGTCCGAACTAGTGGAACAAAGAATGTAGCTAATAAGAAGATTTCTTTGTTTATATTTCTGAGATGAGTTATTGTAACTATTTAAACTATTTACATTGTTCAGACTCTTGTCCTCATCTTTATTGTCATATTCACAACGTTTCTGCTGTTGTACACCCCGGGTTTTTCAGGTGATTGGAATTTCGAATTGAACCCTTTATTTCGTCAACCGAGGCGGATTCTTCTAGTTCCACGTGTCATGACTCTTCCGGGTGTCTCAGTTATCTCCCTTTAGTTCAACTCGCTAAGAGACGTAATGTAAATTGAAAAAAAAAAAAGATTCTTCTTGGAAATAGCGATAGAGTAGCAAGAGGCTTGCAAATTTCCAACTCTGGGAAAAGTTTGTAGTGCGGAAAATAATTCTCTCCCCACCCGACAAGGCCACGGAAAGGATAATTTGCTCCACTTTAGTAGTATTCCATTCTCAGCCTGATCTGGTCCTCGTAAAGATAGAGGGTATAAGGAATTAACCGGACTGTACAAGGAACAGACCGTTTTTCCATCGATTTGGATCGTATCTGATACTCTGCCTTAGCCATACACTTGCATTCTCATACAATGTTTGATATTTTCACCTTCCTCTGTCGCCCCATATCTTATATATAAAATACAGTGTATATATGTTTGTGCGTGTGAGCGTCCAAACAACTCCTTCGCTCCCACTGGTTCAATTTTAATGATTCATAGCTCATTCAAAAGCCCTAGAAAAGTTAGACGAAGGAACGATTTTCGTTGAGCTCAGATTCAGGGCTGCCAGACTACTCGAGTTTAAAAATATATATTAATATATTATACTAATCAGTATCGTTGCTTTCATGGTTAAAGGGGAGTAACTCTTACATTCCTTTTGTATCCAAAATTGCAGCTAGCTTAAAATTTTACCGATAACAGGAAGATATTCTTCAGTACCATATTTTTAATCTGTTCCTTGTGGTTCTGAATGGTGAGACGAGTTTTCTGACGGAGTTTCAAATGGGCGCAGAAATACAAGTAAAGCACAGTACACCGATTGAAGCTGCAAAATACTTAAAAAAGAAAGCAAAGATAAATGCAACCGACCAGATACAGAAATAACCGCTTCATGCCCGTACCAAATAAGCTGACGTAGAGAAAACCCGTGCCCATCAGTGGCTACGTTATGCAGGGTTGAAAGCTGAAACTGAAGGTTTTATCCTTGTTGCACAGGACCAATGGTTGCTAACTAGGAATTATCAAGAAAATATTGTGTTAGCCCAAAATGCAGATTCTGTGATAAATATCCAGAAACAATTGATCATCTTGTATCAGGTTGCACGATATTGGTACCCACTGAATATAAAACCCGGCATGACAGAGTGGGTCTTATATCTGCACTGGAAAATCTGCACTGGAAAATCTGCAACTTCTACGGGAAGGAAACTGAAAGAAACCGGTATGAACACCACCCAGACCCGGTTACGGAAATAGGACCTGTTACAATTCTATGGGACTACACAATACACACTGACAGAACAATCAAGGCCAACCGTCCAGACATTTTTTATTAGAGACCCAAACCAAAAAGTCCTTCCTTATTGATATGGCAGTCCCTGCAGACTGCATTGTATCTTTGACGATATTCAAAAAGTTGTCAAAATACAAGGACTTTGAAATAGAAATCTCGAAAATGTGGCATATGGGAACATCAACAATCCCCGTTGTAGTTGGAGCCCTAGGACTGGTTGGAAAAGATTGCAGTAGACTAATTGAAGGGATTCCTGGAAGTCCATGCCTCAAGGAGATACAAAAAATTGTTCTGACAAGTACAGCCTACACTTTACGAAGGGCTTTATCTATGTTTTTTTTTTTTTGTTTGTTTTTGTCAGTGGAAATTGTCATGATGCCATTTCTAATCTTAGGTCCCTGGGTGGGACCCGGAAAGAAATGTGTACACGCCAGAAATGAAAGGAAATAAAAATAATAATAATAATCGTCATTTACACAGTTCCTAGCAAAGACGGCTAGCCAACCCCTGTGTCAGACACCTTCTCAGGTACATTTGTGTTTATTCTACACACACACACAGACCATCTCCGTTGTATGGCGTAACCGAGTAAATTAGTTACAGTTAGAGTAAATCAACTAGAGTGTTCAGCAGTTTGAACAATACCAATTCACTGTATGTCACTGTCACCATACTCCTTAAAATACAAATTTTTCGAACATACATTGAACCAGTCCTGCTGTACGGATCAGAAACTTGGATATTATCAACTCGTCTTGAAAGACGACAGGATGGAACATATACAAATCTACTTAGGAAAATCCAGAACATCAGTTGGAGATTCCATGTAATGCTTAAACCAATATACAGAGAACAATCTCTCATAAGCTCAAAGAAAAAAGGTTACAGTTCGCTGGACACTGCCACCGAGCGGAGAGGGAAATTGCCTAATCCTTACTCCTATGGCATCCTTTTGGAAATATCTTCTCAAAGAAATTAACTTTCCCAGACATCATAGCTCAGAAATCAGGGTTGGACATTAGGGATCTGTGGACAGCAATGCAGGAGCGAACAGTGCGGATAGGAATTGCCAATGGAGTTCTGACCAAACATTAGGAGGTCAAAGGTTGATGATGATGATAAAAAACAAGCAGGGCAGTAGAAAATAGTATATAACCTACCTAAGGAGCTTGTTTAAATGGATGACAGAACAAGTATTAGGAGCGTTGACAAGAAGACAAACACTATTAAGAGCTACAAAGAAATAGGGCTCAGGAAGACAGAAGATGGCAAGTGAGGCTGCCTTTAAATTTTTGATGGTTGTAGGTGAAATGAAAGCTAGAAATTCGAAAATGAGAAGTGCGAGAAAAGAAACTAGCCTCTCTCTTTTATAGGTTATTAGTGACACTCTCAAAGTATTAATGAAATGCTTAAATCAATTTACGGAGAAGTAAGACCAAGCTGAAATGAAAACGATCACAATGTGCCGGCCACTGCCACCAAGCGGACAGGGAAATCGTCTCATCCTTACTTTCCCAATCTTGGGTCAACGTGGGGAATAGTTTTCAGATACTTTCCAACGGTGTAACACGCTGGGAATTCCTCCCTGGGTACATAACGTCAAGAAGGCAATTACCTGACAAATCGACAAAGGGAAGAATTGAACTCATGCATTATAATAGGAAAGCGAATGATCGAAGCACATCCAAGTTGTTAGAAATGTGGTTGGATGTCCGAATGGTCAAAGCACATCCAAGTAGTTAGAAGTTTCGCTTTCAACACTCTAAAAATCAATATTTATAACTGAAGCGTTTCATCGGGGTTTGATATAAAGATCCAAACCAGTTAAAATGAATCTAGAATGTTTCTTGAAATAAATCCCGGAGAATGGCAGAAAAAAGATATTTATCATCCATTCAAAATATAAGGCTATTTGAAAGAAAGTAAATGAACGATGCATCACGCTGGAAAAAAAACAAAAAAAAACATCCTCAATGCATGACGGGATACATAAAAATCAGTTGAAGTTTAACCACGGCCATTTTCTTTCCGAGTCAATAATTGCTTTCTGCTGCCGATATAAAATGGCGTCGGTTCAGTTTTTTTTTAGTTTTTTTTTTTTTATTCTTATTGTTTGCTTCGTGGTTTAATTCCCGGCCACCAGGTGGACACGAGCGTCAGACAGAAATAAAACGAAAAGGGTCACCCGGGAAGTGTGTATAAGTTTAATGAGAAATAAAAGAGTCCATAAAGGGAATTGGGAAGATGAAATATAAAGAAAATGGAGCGGGAAAAACAGAATTTAAAAGGAGAACATAGGAAGAAAAAATACGACTCAAGAAAAGATTGTAATAATGATGTGAATACAAAGAGAAGTAATGAGTAAAGAAATGATAAGAGAGGAAAGAGAAAGAGGAACTGTAAAGTGGAGGGAAAAAAAGAGTCGGATGTGATGGCAAGAAAGGATGAGGAGGGAAACCATATTAACGGGGGAAAAAGGCGAAAACGACACAAAAAGAAAAAAGGATAATGAAGAGGAAATGAAATATGAGGACGAAATAAAAAGAAGAAGAATGAAAGAAGAAATGAAAAAAGATAAATAAGAGAGAAAAAAGGATGAACAATTAAAAGCAAGTTAAAGAATGAAAGGAACGAAAACTAAAAAGAAGAAAGAGAAAAAGGGAGAAAAAGGGAGAAAAAAGGTGAGAAGAACGAAGACGACGGGAATATATTAAGAAAAAGAAAGATGTCAACAGATGAAGTAAAGTGAAGAGGAAAGAGACTGACGGTAAGAGAAAAAGAAAATAAATGGAATCAAGATTTAAAAAAAAGAAAGTGACACAAAGAAATCAGAAGGAAAATGCGAAAATAGATTAAAGAAAAAGAAAGTAGTTAAAGGAAAAAAGGTGACGGGGAAAAGGTCTGACGGTAAAAGAAACGTGTTAAGAAGTCCTAAATCCTTCGCGTTACTACCCAAAGCTCCTGCGTTGTCTCTCCTCTTTCGCCTCTGAGTCACGATATAGACTGGCTATTCCGCATATGTTAATTAGTTAGCCCACATACTACTACAAAAGGCAAGAAAATTTTGATAACTAGATAGAGAAATAAAGAAGGCCGAGACAAATGTAGCGTAGAAGGAAAAATATGAAAATAGATTAAGAAAAGGAAGGAAAAAGCCAAAGATAAAAAAAGAGGAAAGTGCTTGAAGGTAAAAAAAAAGGAGGGTAAATAAAATAAATCGGGATGATAAAGAAGAAAAAGACAAACGAAGAGAAGAAGGAAAGATGTGAAAATAGATTATGAAAAAGAAAGAATAAACTCATTAAAAAGTAAGATGAGGTGGAAAGAGCTTGGCATTAAAGGAAACGTGAGAAAGTTTAAACAAAAAGAAAGAAAGAAAGAAAGCAGAAGAAGAAGAAGAAGAAGAAGAAGAAGAAGAAGAAGAAAACAGGCTAAGCATGAAAAATACTAAAATAGATAAACAAAAAAAGAAGGAAAGAACGTCAAAGATGACATAAAGTGAAGAGGAAAGTGTCAGTAAAAGAAAGTTGTCCAAGATAACTAGAAAGGGAAAAAGGAAAAATGGATCGTTTCCAAGTTTCTGATCCATAGAGATGGATTGGGTCAGTCAATGTTCTAAAGTTTTGGATTATTAAGGAGGATGAAATGTTCGAGCGCCAAATCTTGTGACGTTTGTTACACGGATCCCAGTAGCGCTAGCAGCGGTGTTTCTATACAGAGCTTTAAGTTTACTATTTACATTATTCGGACAATTGTCCTCATCTTTGTCGCCATATTTATTACAGCTTTTCGGTCGTTGTACGCTCCGACCTTCTTGTCGAACTGAACCCATATTTCGCTGGCTAGTATAAACAGTTCTAGATCCACCCGCCACTTCTGTTGGATGTCAGTTATCAGTTATCTCCTGTTAATTTCAATTTCCCCACCGCCTTAACCAGGTATTGAACTCTCCTTGGGTCATGCCACTGGAACTAAATAACGCCTTTATCCACTGTGTAATGTGTCCTTGGGGACAATAATAAATATGGCAACAAAGATGAGCAAAATAGTCTGAATAATATAAATATCGTATATAATAACTCATCACAGAAATATAGACAGATTCTGAAAGGCCGAAACGTTGTAATAAATATGTCAACAAAGATGAGAACAATAGTCCGAATAATGTAACTAGTGTACATAATACATCATCTCAGAAATATAATCAGCTGTAAGTGCTTCAAAAATTTTGGATAATACCCTAAAGATAGAGAATTTTGAATATGAGATCTCTGTTGATGGAATCAAATGCGTGCGAAAATCAACAAAACAGATGTGACCTCTTTTTTGGAATTTTTTCCTCTTTTCCAGTATACTTTAATCTACAAAGCTATGGCCCCATGATCTTAGTTTCTTGAACCTAATAACCTCTACATGGGCAACACTCAATTCTTGATAATGACTGAAACAGCAAGAAATATTTGAAAAGAAAAAGAAAGAACCATAAACTTTGGAAAGATTTTCCCCAATTCTGATCTCGTGTAGCATTTGTTTTTATTTTTATAACGCTTGGGTCATTGCTCACCCGTTTCCACTGAGGGCAAGCACACACTACCCGACACAAAGATTGAACACACAATCACTAGCTCTGTAGGGTAAATAAAGGTTTCCGTCGAGAATTCTCTGTCGGCTATCCAGATCAATTCCACCTGAGGAAGGCTGGAATTCAGAACAACCGAAACGTGATAAGCCCAACAAAGATGAGAGCAATATTCCGAATACAAATAAGATGTTAACCGTTAAAATATTTAATCCTTGAAAATGGCTAAATGTATAGCCGAAAGCGCTGGGATAAAAAGAACATTCGGACAGTTTTTATATAATTTATCACCCGAAAAGAAAAAAAATATTAGATTGCATGGGAACTTATATAAAAAAGTAAATAAAAGCACTTTGTCTGTCGTATTCAATGAAATGTGCATGAAAGAAGGATTGCTGCCCAAATACACACACACATATCTATCTATCTATCTATCTATCTATCTATCTATCTATCTATCTATCTATCTTCCTATATATATATATATATATATATATGGATATGTATTCACGGAGGCATGGTTGTATAATGGATACAGGCTTGGTTTGAAGAATCGGGGAGCTGAGTTTAAACTCCAGTCGAATACATTGCCTGCTAATACACTTTAGAAAGGTATGTATCCTCTTCTTCTTCTCTCCAGCTATAGGTAAATAGCAGGGCAGATTGGGTTTTATATCCATGGATTGCAACTGGTCAGGGAAAAGGAAAACTCTGAATTCAAAAGCTGCGGAGGATCGTTAGGGCCCCTTGTGGCACGTAGTGCACCAGGTCTCTATAGTTGGCCTTTGAAAAAGTATGGTTGGTTCTGTACAAAACCTTCAGCATTATAATAAAATCTCATGTGCTAGTGTCCGGCTATCGGAAATTTTCTGCTAGACCCTGACACGTCGAATTCGACGGGAGAGTCAAGTACGAGTATATATATATATATATATATATATATATATATATATAGATACACCTAGTGAGCCAGACAAACCTACCTAGGTTTCACCTAAACGGATCGTCAGGGAAAGTTTGGCTAACGAGGCAAAAGAGAAATACATATTTATAGGTGATAGCTAAAATCATACCACGTGACAAAATAAAAAAAAAAAAAAAAAAAACAACCTAAGTGGGGGGAATTTATTCAAAAAAAAAACCTCAGTGGAAAGGTCTGCTCTACGGTTGTATTGAGCTCTTTTGTTAGTTAGTTGTTACTCGTATCGGGGTTTTTTCTTTGGGCTTCAGACCTGCATCTGTGCGATTTTTTTTGTCGGCAGAAGTCCATGTTTGTAGCTCTTTCTTTTTTTTTTAAAACCTTTTTTCCCTCGAGATTGATTTGATTAGCAAATCAAAATTGAGGGTTTTTCGAAACGAGTCTAGTTATCTATATATATATATATATATATATATATATATATATATATATATATATATATATGAATGAATGAACAGACAATAGGAAAACTATACTTACTTTTAGCTGACGCGTTTCGTAATTCGACGGACTTTAGCAAAACAAATGTGATGGTTTTTTATTTTGCAAAATTATATATTTGACAGTGACTCAAAATATTCAAATTTAGAAAAGCTCATGAATATTCAGCATGTTAATTGTTACTTTGTCCGTATGTAAAAATTGTAATATCTATCTATCTATATATATATATATATATATATATATATATATATATATATATATATATATATAAAGTGAACACTTAGAGGCGATAGTCTGTTTCATGCTAGACGCAAATTGTCAGGCCACGAGCGCTGTTTTTTTTTTCTCGGCTATTTATATATATACGGGTCAGTGATGCATTGTAGGTACCTACCCACTACAAACCGGTATATATAAATAGCCGAGAAAAATAAAAGCACGCGTGGCCTGATGATTGCGTCGAGCATGAAACAGTCCATCCTCTAAGTGTTGACTTCTATCTTCACTTTTATATTTACACACGCCCTATCTCTAATATTGAGCACTTTATCCCATCCCATAAATATAGTACATCTTAAGACTATATTTCTCCATATATATATATATATATATATATATATATATATATATATATATTAAGCGTTTCACCCCAAGCAAGTCGGAAAGCCACTAGGACGCAAGGGGTTACAGAAAATTTGGAGCAAGATCAGATAGGAGTGATAGAAGAAAGGATGAGGAGAAGAGTAGTGGATAGATCAAGGCAACTGGAGATACAGAGAGAGATAGAGAGATTACCGGAAACCCCTTCCTAAACAAGAAACAAGGCGTAAGCCTCTACTCATGTCCAAGAGAAGGGGGAGGAGTTATATATATATATATATATATATATATATATATATATATATATATATCATTGGAAATACTATTTAAAAATAAATCCATTCGGTCAACACCGAGCGGCGACAATAGGTATCATGATTGAACGCAATCTTCAGGCCATGTGTGCAATGTTTTTCTTCGACTATTTATATATGCTGATCAATGATACGTTATGTATTATAATAAGGCTTCTAGTATCATCATAGCGGTTATTAAGTTTTGGCCTCAGTGTCCACTTTATATTTATATACGCTCTATCTCTGGAGTTGTGTACATATACTCATAGATATAGCATACTTTAAAACCATATATCATATAAAAGTGCGTGTTGCGTGTCTGTGTGTTCGTGTGTGTCTGTGTCTATGTGCGTGCGCGCGTGCGCACATGCGCGTTACTAAAACCTCTGGGTAGAATCCACTTCGCAAAATATGAGCAAATTCAAAATTCTACGAGAGAAAGGTTCTTTCCCTTTCCACAGCCCTACACAATAATGAAAAAATTTCTCTTAAATGTAATTTTCTCTTTAATATTCTTTGATATTTTTTTTTCAAATTCTTTAACAAGTTTGAATCGAAGAATGTTCACTGATAAACGAAAGACGAATGTTAATAAGATATTTTTTTCCCAGTGAATAACGCAATATATATATAATTCTTTTGGACAAGTGGCCATAAATAAAATCAAAGAAAACAAAAGAAAATCGTAATTTTTCTTTTCTTTTCTTTTTTTTTTTTTTTTTCGTTTTTTATTATACAACAGTTAAACATTTCCATACTCTGCTATAGACAAAAAATAAGCAATTCGTCTAAATGAAGAGATGGCACGTCTTTCCTATGTATTTTCTTTAGAGTCAAGGTGAAAAAATAACACTAGAATTTTATAAGCAGCATCGAGTTGACACTTGTCAGCGTCTGGCCGGGGATTTTTTTTTTTCTTTTTCAGAAAGCAAAGGCGGGAATCTCTGAAAAATCCTATCTGTCGTTAGTTGATCGGCCTATCCATGTCACAGAGCAGACAGAAAAAAGACAGTTACTGTATAACTGAAAGATGGAAGAATAAAGAGTGGACATTCTGTTTCCCCTGGTGTTTGTTTTGTCTAGTGGGGGCATGATTAAAACAACTGTACACGAACACAGACACACTTATACATGTACAGACATGCATACAGACATGCATACATTTTATATATATATATATATATATATATATGCATATATATATCTACACAAATACAAACACACACACACACACACATATATATATATATATATATATATATATATATATATATATATATATATATATATATGAATATATATATATAATACGACTGAAAAATACGTAAACATTACAAGAAATTTTCGTGCTTTCCAAGTTAAGAGAACTTATGCCAAAAATTGATCAATATTTAACATGAATAATACAAGAAATGAAATAGAGTAAATAACGACTACAATTTAATTAAAATAACTGTTCATTAAAACATCTATTGATTTTTTGTATTATGCGGTAAACATAGTTCCAATTTAATGTGAAAATACATTTGATATTTGCCGAA